TTGTATGTGGCATGAGCTACAACCCCAACTTCATTCCTTTACATGTAGTTATCCAGTTATTCTGGCACAGTTTGTTGATGGGTAGTGAACCCTTGCTAAATCATCAGACAGATATTTACCAAGTAGAACAAAGTGATGGTTTCAGGGTGTGTAAAGGATAGCTTCCAGTGGACAGGAATGCTATGTACTGTCTAGTGCCTTCACAGGTGCCCCATTTCACAGAATCTGTTAAAGATCTTGGCTGTCTTCCTTCCTTCCTTCCTTCCTTCCTTCCTTCCTTCCTTCCTTCCTTCCTTCCTTCCTTCTTTCCTTCCTTTCTTCCTTCCTTCCTTCCTACCTTCCTCCCTTCCTCCCTTCCTTCCTTCTTCCAATAGGACCTCACTGTGTAGCCTTGGCTCACCTCTTAACTCATACCTATCTTACTTCTGTAACTCTTCATTGTAGGGTTTACAGGTCTGAGCACTGTGCCTGTAACGTTTGTTTCCATGGGGGTGGGGAGAGGGCCGCTGGTGTTGACATGATGAATGACCGGATTTTAAAATTCACATCACCCTCTCCCTGTTGACTGACTGTATAGTTTATGCTGATATTACACTAAGTTTGGGAATGCAAAGCTGAGTTTCAATAAGTAATCACTGAAGAAATAGGGCAAGAGAATGTAGGCCGTGTTTTCTAGAAAGGGGCAGAGAGGTAATGTCGCTACAACAACAGAAGGTTTATAACTTTTGCATAGAACATTAAATGAGATGGGAGCATGGAGAGTTGGATGTGTGATAAAATGAGCAGATAGATATGACCTAGGGTGGGAAGCGTCTTGCAGGTTATTTGGCAACATCACTGAAGCTTTGAGTTATTTTTGAAATGTAAAGCAAAACATGAATTACAAGCTTTTCATTCTCATCTGCAGTTGTGACCTCTGTCCGTTTGCTCTTGGGTAGACTGGGTTTTTTGGCCTGCCACTCTAAATATAGCTTCAGAGAAGACAGCATAAAAATCAAAGATTCCTTTTCTTCCTAGGTGCATGCTATGCTTATCGAATGAGTTACTGTTTGCAAAAGGAACAGATTCTAAAATGTGATCACAGTTTTCTTTTACAGTTTCGTATAGATCTTATCCTATTTAGGGATAAGGCAGTACACAGAGATATTGTTTCATGATTGTTTGATTTTTTAGTACACATGAAGTTCTTGTTAATTTTGGAGCTGATTAATACTAGATAAACGATAACATATGAAGCTCATTTCCAAAGGGTGTATTCAGTTGCTTTGTAATTTAATGTTTAGTTTGTGCATTTTAAAAACTGTTACCTTGTAGTCTTTGAATGTCTAATTTATTTTTAAGATAAAACATAAGCTTAAAAAATATTTTCTTCCCTAATTCCATCCACTATGATATCACCTTGTTCTAAAAACATCAAACATTTCAGTTCAGAAAAAAAAAAAAGAAAATAGTGAGAAATAGGATAGTATTTGTAAGTCAACAAAATACACGCTGTTTGTACTTTCCTGCTGGTTTCTCATAAAACCAAGAGTCATAATTAACCGTGCAACAGCTGTACACACTGTTGGTGTGGCGCAACCTGACCCAAAAGATAGCTTGCACAGCTTGCACAGCTGTCCATTTACAAAAGGATGAAGTGCCCTCTTCCTTCAGTATGCTGAACTGCATATCGTTATAAAGAGGTGCAGAGTTCAAGTCCTCGCTGCTTGAATAACGGCCAGTTGTTTTATGCCAAAGCCCCCACAGACCTTTGGTTCTCATACATAAGAGAGATCTCTGGATTTGAATGAAATAACATCTAATTCATTATATTTTCAGTTATATTAGCTGCTCGTGAGACTTTGATTACTTCTGGACGAAACAAATCTTGTGAATCCTAAATGGTTCATATGATACTTTTTTCTTTGTTTCTTTTCTTTTTTTTTTTTCCAAATCCATGTAGTCTATCAGAAATAGTAATATCAAATGACTTAAGAAGCTGTATAGTCCAAATGTTCTTATTTCCTACACAGCAGAAAGCTATAGGAGGGACTGAATTATCTTGTGTTGTATGGCTTCATTAGGAGTAAAGTCTGAGTATGACTGTAAGGCTTCAATCAATAGTAGTATTCTCGCTGAAATTTTGTTGCATCCCCTTCAGCCTGCATCTGGCTAGATGAAGTGGGAGAACACAATCTAATCACCATGTATACAAATGTTCTGTCATGTCATTTCCATGAAAAAAAAATGTAAATACGTTTACAAAGGAAAACTTATCATTTTTTTTTTTAATTACCCATGCCTGTGTGTTTATAACTCTCCCAGGAAGATGTCCTTAAACCAGATGGTTTCTTAATCATTGAATTTTTTAAGGAATCTATTTCAGAATCTTTGAAATTCTGTGAAAAATTTTAGTTCACATCTTTTGTGAATTTTAAAATAGCCGTTAGCCAAGGTCACCCTTGGATCTCGTTCCACAGGTCTTTTCCATTCCCCTCTGCCTCCTGTCAGGCGGATGCCCATTTCCTGTGTATAACTGTGCTGCACTAATGTAGAAACCATCCATTTCCAAATGAAGAATCTCATTGCCATGTTTTTTGTTTTGTTTTGTTTGTTTTGGTTTTGCAGTAAGTTCTTTTTTGCACATTTTAATTTATTTTATGGCTCTCTGAATTCTTTCCAAATTTTTGATCAACCCAAAATGCAGAGTTCAGAATTAGCAATCATGTCCGAAGGAGAAACTCCTGTAGGGTGCTAGTCTGCCGATAGTGATGTCAGAGGCCCCAGGAGTGACCCCACAGAGGAGGTCAGCGAGTCTTCAAGGTCAGACAGGTGGCAAGAGGCTCCCTCCAGCAGGATTGGCAGGATTTCTCACATTTCAAATTCAAAATGACAAAAATGAACAAAGGGAGTCCAGGTAGGTTAGAGGGATCAAAGCAAAGCCAGAATAAATGAAAACCTGAAAACAAGTCTGCAACAGCTTTGTTGCATATTAATAGCCTGCACCTTTCTTACTAAAAATCAACCTAGTCTTCAGTACCGAGGCTGCTCACACAGGGTCAGTCACTGCAGCCTCCGATGTCAGATTGCCAAGTTCTGTTTCTGGGGTGTGTGACTAACAGAAACCATGAGATGGGCTTTGACTGCTGTGAAATCTCTATGATTGGGGAAGGGTAGAAGCTTGAGAGTCTATGTGCTATTTCAGTGAGGAAAGTACCAAAGATGCTTCATGCAGCCTTTACCCCCTCTATGTAACCTGGAGCCTGTGACTGATTCATAGTCATAATGCCTGGCCTAGGTGTCTGGTAGTCTCCATTTCTTAACTCATTTGCTTCCTGGTCTTTGTCATGTCATGTAATTGCTTCAGCTGCAGCGTCAGGGGTCTTTGAGGGATTCGGAACTATAGTATCCACGTAGGAGACAAAGGCTTAGTGAGTCGAACCACAGTAATGAGGCCAGAGTGGCAGATTTGAGAGAACCCTGTGAACATGATGAATCTTTGGAGAACGAATTATACTAAGGAAGTATATCATCCAATTAGATGATGATTCCTCTGCCTCATGCTAGTATCTTAAGTTATATTTGCCAGCGAAGACATGGTTAATTATTTCATGACACAGGAGATACTGACACTGAGCCAGCTAGTTAGCCTTGTGTAGCTGCTATTAGAGCCGTGTCCAGTTCCTAAACATGGCCGTTCTGGGGCAGTGGGTGAGGCCTTGGGCCAGGCCAGGGAGAGGACAGAACAGGAAGTATGGTTTTTGTGGTGTGGTCTGAAGCTTAATCACTGGTTTGTGACTCCTGTTGACCTTCCTAATCAATCTCTAGAAGCAGGCACTCTGTGTCCACAGCTGTTAACATATGTATTCTTTAACTGGAGAATAATTATCTGGATAACTCAGGTTGAATAGACTCTCATTCACCATAATTTTCAGCTCTTAAAGAGAACTTGAAGTTTCAGTTCTATCTTACTACTTACAAATTACCTAAATAAAGGATGGCTTGTTCTTAAAAGTTAAAAAAACAAAACAAAAACAAAAACAAAAACAAAAAAACAAGTGTACTCGCAAGAATCAATACCTATGTGTGTAAATATTTAAATGCAAAATAAAATAAAGAGTTGATTACAGGTCTATTTGAGAGTCTGTTTGCTGGGATGGAGAGATGGTTCAGTGACTAAGGGCTCTTGATGCTCTTGCAGAGGACTGGGATTTGATTCTCAGCACCCACATGGTGGCTCACAACCACCTCTAACTCCCCCAGGGTACCTGAGGCCCTCTTCTGGCCTCCTTGGGTACATGTATATAGTGTACACAAGGTACATGCCAACAAATACTCATACACATAAAAGTAAATAAATCTTGCTTGTTTTTTTAATAAAAAGTTCCAAGTCACTATTGTTTGGACTTTAACTGATTCTCCTTCCTTTTATCTGACCTCTTAAAATCTTTTCTTCCACTGATGCTTCATTGAGAACACATGATGATCACCATGAAATGGAGTCAAAATTATATTCCCCAAGATACCTTGAAATATAAATAAAATGATTCATGTCTATCTATCATGTGGGTCACAACCCCTTTTGGGCTAGAACAAGCCTTTCACAGGAGTCACATATCAAATATCTTGTATATCAGATATTTACATTACAGTTCATAAAAATAGCAAAATGACAGTTGTGAAGTAGCAATGAAAATAATGTGAAGGTTGGGGGTCACCACAATATGAGGAGCTGGGTTAAGGCTCACAGTCTTGGGGGGCTTGAGAAGTACTGCTCTAGCATTTAACATATATACAAAAGGCTGCCGTGGGGTTTTCTTTGATTCCCTGGCAATAACAAAATGCCTGTGCCTTGTGTTGATACTTGTGGTATTTTAGAGGTGGCAGCTTTAGATCCATAATGGAAGCTGAGGATCCTTTGACAGTCAATACAAAATTTGCTTAATTAGACTGAAAGCCAACATTTACTTCCTTCACAAAGCCATCTGGTCATTACTTTGATTTTTTTCCTTCCTCAACAGAAAATGAAAACACTATCAGAACGGAGGAGGAGTGCCCCATCCCTTATCCTGGACAAAGCCTTACAGAAGCGTCCAAGTATGAGGTGAGTCCCAGGCTGGTCTGTACCACCTGCCGCTGGCCTGTGCTGGGGATTTCCTCTCATTGATAAGGGTTTCAGATCGTCTTCTCATAGGCGTGAAGGTTGTTTATCGGCACCAGCATATTCTGCTTAATAATGTCCTAATAACAAAGTTTCCCATTAGTAAAATAATTATTACTAAAATTAGTCATTAAAATTATTTTGAAATATTAATTACTAATAAAATTTGTAATGTCCTATTGATTAGATTCCCACAATAAAAATTCCTATTAATAAAATCATTAATAACGTGACATTTTTAATAAGACGTAGATAATTTTAGAGGTAGAGCGTGTGCCCAGTTGCTTTAAAACCAAACCTAGTGACTTTCATATCACACGGCTTTCAGGTACAAGTGGGGAGGATCAATGTTTGCTTGCTAAATAGAAATCCCAGGGTTGAAAATCGAATGCTTGCATGATAGCCCCCAAAATGTGCTTGCTGTTGACTACCAGGTAGTAAGTATCCTTATATGGATGCAGTAATTTCTTATCAATTACAGTCGTGAATAAATAAACCAAGCTAAGATTATTCTCCTTAAAATGTTGTGATAGACAGTATTGTAAATTAGTAAACCTCAAACTGGAAAACCAGGCTAAGTATCTATTAAAATGCCCGTTTCATTATTAAATCTAATTACTTTTCTAGGAGGGTTTTAAGAAAGTCCTTCATAATATGTACAAATTTAATTGATATTTAATCACTAATTCGAGGTTTGGGGGATTTTTTTTTGCACGTGTGTATAGGTGTGTGTGTGCGTGTGTGTGTGTGTGTGTGTCCGTCCCACGTGAGCATAGATGCATTTGTTTGTCGGGGGGTGGGGGGCAGAGGTTTACATTGGGTGTCGGCCTCAATCACGCTGTTTACTGCAGCAGTCTCTGAAGCCAGCACTGGCCGGTTCATGCGGGCCACCATAGCCACCTGCTGTTTATGCGAGCGCTGGGAATCTGAACCCAGGTCTTCCTGCTGGGAAGCATTTTATCCAATGACCCATCTTCTTGGGTCCCTGATCTGTTCAGTTCTTTAACCCAGGGACAATTCTATGCTCAAAGGTCAACTAAGGTAACTCCACGAAACTGTGCATCCTTCCCTATAAAGAGGCTCTCTGCCGCCTTTATGTGAAGTAGGGTTTGTCTGTAACCATGCTGCTTTGACAAGCGGTGCTCTCAGTTAACAAAGAATCTGTATGGTCATAGCAGAAGCTTTTGGTGGAAGGAATACATTTCCAATCCATTTAATTGAATATTTAAATACTTAAATCACTTTTTTTTGTTTGGTTTTGTTTTGTTTCTCAAACTAGGTCCTTTCTGACCTGTGCCCTAAATGTATTCCCTTTAGTTGTTGGGTTGATCAAGAAAGATAAACTACTTTTATTCAGCAGGAACCTAATCAAAATTTAATTAGGAAGATGCTCTTCCAAATAAAAAAAAAAAACAGCAAATTACTCCAGTGTCATATGTAGATGACTTTAGATATTTGATTTAGCATGCCTGCATTAGTGTGGGTGAAGGAAAGTGGCCACATCATCACAGTTTGCTCCTGGTTAGCTAGGAAGCACAGGAGGAGGGCTCTCAGGGGAGGTGGGCACAGAGAGGAATGTGCTTATCAGTACAGCTGTCTCTATCTCCACATACAGAAATGATTTTTACAGGGTTTTAAATGAAATCTACTACTGGATGATTCTGGGTTCAAAGTGGAGTGGGGTTCTCAGCTAAAAGAGGCCTTGAGCTCAGGGTCAGTAGATGGACATCTTCTTCAAGCCCAGGCAGGCATTTCTAATAGCATTAATGTAAGGTACTGAAAACGTACACAAATACTCCATTTTCTAGTGGTACTAACTAACCTCCAGGGGCCACTTTGGAACTGTGTGGCTGGTCAGGTTTTCAGAGAAATGCAGAGGGCAGCCAGCACAGCTGGTTAAGACAGGACGCATACAGCGAAGCAAAGGATAAAAAAGTTCTGGCATCCCTTTTGAATGTCATATTTACGAAGAGAAAAAGTGTGTATGTTGTTTACACCTAAAACCTGACTGTTTTATATAGAAATCTGGTGTTTCTATGCATTTTCACTGATACTACATTTTCCAGAAAGGCAGCTGGGTTGTGCAGCAGGAGGTAATTATACTTTGCATTCTTTTGAACCATTTAAAAAAAAAATCAGTTGGTAGTAGCACATTTGGAGGTGCTTGTTTCAACAGAGGGTTGCTTAGCCTATTGTTCTTAAATTTAAATATATATATTTGAACCCTTGTGGTGCCTTAGCATAGCCATGCCTGAACATGTCCATACTGAAGCATGTGATTTATTAATTGCACTCTGGTTTGTCTTTTTATTGTTATTAGGATTCTGATTAATATTTTATAAGTTATGTTTAAATGTCATTCTACAATATAAAAAGAAGTCAAAAAAAGCCGTGTGTGTTTATGTAAAAATGGATGGTTCATGTAATAAAAAGCCAATAAGTTTGGTAGGTCAAAAACTGCTAATGGAAAGAAGCAGGTAAATGGCAGATCAGAAGCCACATCTGTGCAATCAGAGGGAAAGAAGTTAGGGTTCTGTTGTCAGTGGTGGTGGTGGTTTTTAGAGAGATCCTGTTTCTTAAAAACAAACAAACAAAACAAAACACTGATACAGTATAATTCAGTGGTTCTCAACCTTCCTAATCCTGTAACCCTTTAATATGGTTCCTCATGTTGTGGTGACCCCCAACCATAAAATTATTTCCTTGCTGTTTCATAACTGTAATTTTGCTACTATTATGGATCGTAATATAAATATCTCTCATGCAGGATATCTGATAGGTGAGCCCCACAGTCGGTCCCGACTCACAGGTTGAGAACCACTGGTCTAATTGGACTTTTTTTTTGTTTGTTTTTCCACAACACATGAGTGGCCAGTTGTACCATACTACTGGAGCTTAGCTAGAATCAGCTGTAGCTACCAGGAAGTCCTCTAGCAGGCAGACAGCATGAGAGCCCAGAGAGGCAGAAACGTAGCCAGCTAGTGCACATAGCATGCAGGAACAGAGAGAGGGCTGGAGTGAAACAGGCAGTGGAGGCAAAAGCAGAACAAGGCATAGGAGCCTGACTTCCAGGCCAGGAGATCGTCACCTCCCTGGCTACTGGCCTACGATCACTGTAAGTTGCAGCGGGTCACGATGCAGTCGATGGGCCTGACTAAAGTCAACACAGGCAGAAAGGCCCGCTCTGCCCACACAGAGTCTCAGGGAAAGCTCTGTGCATGGAAAGAACAATCCCCAGAGCATCAGGGATGCGGTTATAACTTACAGTGAGAGGCCTCTCATTCAGGGGATTCTGGCAGAACACAGACTTAGTCACAAAAAAACCTTCTCAGCAGGAAAGGCACATCAGTGTAACGTGTCTGAATTACTAGGACTGGAAGCCATCTTCCCCACCCTCCAACCGGTGGACAATGGTAGGGAAGACAAGACAAGAGCAGGAAGGATCCTTCTTGTGCCAACCGGAGTCATAATGCCTTCTATTTTGTTTTATTGTTTCTTTTTATCATTTAATTGTTATTACTTTCTTACTTTAATTGTTCCATTGTATTTTTAAACTTGTATTCATCAGAAAGTACATATGATTGTCCTTTCTCTGTTCCTATTCAAAAAAATTTCCTCATATATCTTATGATACATTATATATTATACCTGTATTATACACTTTTCATCTCATTATTACTCACTCTTCCCCTTTTTCCCATTGCCAATTCATTTTATAATTCGCCATTAATAGCCTTAGCTCTAAAATTATTACTATAAATTGCATTTTCCCTAATCAATACCATTATCCCACTGTCTCTAAACCTTGCTGATGACACAAGAGAAGTGCCCAAGTGTCTCTCAGCACATGCCAACAACCCACACCTGCTGTGATGTCATTATACTTGTCACTGCAGTGATCTTCTTCCTAAACAGCAGTAGGTAAAAACTCTAAGACAGCTTACCAGCAGGACCCATCTAAAACCAAACAAACTGAAAGAGGGGACCCGGAGGACACATCCTCCCAACAGATACACAAAACACAACAAATAAAAAACACACACACATGGAAATGAGACAGTAATCTATAATGATACCTCCACAAGCTCACAACTGTTAAGCACCAAAACTAAAGATGATTAGATAACTGCAATCTCATTAAAAAAGTATCATTCATAAACCAAGAAGACCATATGTCAGAGGTAGAGAATGAGGCCAAGAAAACAGTCCACACTAAGATATGTGAAGACAAAAACTGATGAGAACTCGCAGATTTCTAAAACCTCCGGAACAGGTTTAAGAGAACAGCCCTAAGAACTCATGAAATAGAAGAAAAAGTTGAAAAACATCTAGAGACATGAACAGTTTATTCAGTGATATTTTAGCAGAAAATTTCCCAAACCTACAGAGAAAAAAACAAACAAACAAACCTATTTTGAACCCAAATATGCACAAGTAGAGAAAAATTTCTCTACCACATCAGTTCTCAACCTGTGGATCATGACCCCTTTGGGGGTCAAAAGACACTTTCACAGGGATTGCATATCAGATACCCTGATATCATTTACATTACATTACAGTTCATAACAGTAAGCAAAATTACAGCTGTGAAGTAGCACGGAAATAACTTTATGGTTTTAGGTCAGCACAGCAGGAGGAACTGCATTAAAGGGTTGCAGCACGCAGCTCTACCACTTACTGGGATCAAAATCTCAAAAGCACAAAGCAGAGAAACAGTGATTGGAAGCTGTAAAGGAAAAACACCAAGATACATTCAAAGGCAGGAATGGCAGATAACAAAAATCTCTCACCAGCCTCATCTCTCACCAGAAAAGTACTGTTTCAAGCCCTTGAAAGTAAGTGACTGTCAACCAAGATCTCTATATCCAGCAAGTTTATCACTTAAAATCTCTCTCTCTCTCTCTCTCTCTCTCTCTCCCTCCTTCCCTCCCTCTTGACTCTGT